TAGGACCCAAAATGAGCCTGTAGGACCCAAAATGAGTCTGTAGGACCTCGTTTCTACCAACAATGAGCCTGTAGCACCCAAAATGAGTCTGTAGGACCTCGTTTCTACCAAAAATTAGCCTTAAGGACTTAATTTCTACCAAATATTAGCCTTAAGGACCTTGTTTCTACCAAAAAGGAGCCTGTAGGACCCAGAATGAGTCTGTAGGACCTTGCTTCTACCAAAAATGAGCCTGTAGGACCCAAAATGAGTCTGTAGGACTAAAAATGAGGAAAGGGGTCCGGGACGGACCCTCCAGGGTGTCTCCGCTGAGTCCATTCTGGCCAGCGCGTTCTGTCACAAAGGTGGGTCTTGGAGGGAGGACTCAGTCGCGGAGATATGGGAAAAAGGTTTTTCGAAACAAAAATGCACTCAAAGGAGTGGATGCAGACAAAGTTCAAAAACAAGGCTGTGGCAAAACTATGAACAAAGTATCAAAGCAAGGTTAACAAAACTGCCGCAAAGTATCAAAATAAGACTGTGGCAAAAGTACAAACAAGGTTAGCATGACTGTGGCAAAAACAAGGCTATGGCAAAGTAACAAAATAAAGATTAACAAAACTGTGGCAAGGCTGTGGCAAAACATGGCTATGGGAAATAATCAAAGCCTTACATGACGTGGGGAGACGAAAGACGAAAACGCACTGGTACAGGACATGGGAAACGAGGACTATTTAAACACATGAGGGAGGGGAACCCCAGGTGAACACAATAGGTAATCAAGACATGACGAGACACCAGACATTCCCCCAGACGTGACGGTAGGACCCAGAATGAGTCTGTAGGATCCAGAAGGACCAAAAATGAGTCTGTAGGACCCAAAATGAGTCTGTAGGACCCAGAAAGACCCAGAATGAGCCTTTAAGACCAAGTTTCTACCAAAAATGAGCCCGTAGGACCCAGAATAAGTCTGTAGGACCTCGTTTCTACCAAAAATGAGTCTGTAGGACCCAGAATGAGCCTTTAGGACCTCGTTTCCACCAAAAATGAGTCTGTAGGACCCAAAATGAGCCTGTAGGACCCAAAATGAGTCTGTAGGACCCAGAATGAGCCTGTAGGTCCTGGTCTCTGCCTCCATCTGGACTCCAGGTCTTCAGCGTCCTCCACAGAAAGAACAGAAAGGCAGAAAAGCCTCAGAAAAGATAAGAAAATCAGAAAAAGATGTGATTTTATTCAAAAGTTTTATATATTTTTTGTCCGAATGGTCACTCAAACTGATGCCTGAGGGTTAACAACACTTCATTTCCCTTTACGGTTATATCTACAGATTATATCAGTCCAAAAAAAACATAAAAAATAAATTATAGGCACACCTAGACAGGGGTGTGGTTTCTCCTCAGCTCAACTGCGCCCAAAAGAAAATCCCCTTTTTCTTTTTTGTTTTCTTTTTTTTTTTAATTTTTATTCATGTTTTTATTCACGTGACAAGGTCAGTTACAAACAATGAAAAGTAAGGATTTTTTTCCTTTTTACAAAAACAACAACCACTCATTCCCTCCCCAATCCCACAAGATTATGTTACAGATCAGTAATAACCCACATCCTTCCCTATTACCGTACACAAACATGTGAATAAAAAAGTATATAGACAATAAAGAAAAAGGGAGAGTAGTAAGAATAAAATAAATAAATAAACAAAC